TTTATAAAAATTTTAAATTTGAAAATTTTGATTTTTTATTATTTAAGGTTTTTTAAAATTAAAAAAATATTTAAAAATATAAAATTTTAAAAAAAATTAAATTTATAAATATTATCAAAAAGTTAAAACACTTGTCAAGCTGTATCATGAGATGAACCTTCGTATGAGCCATTAAGTGCAAGACTCCTTTTTCTTTTTATCCCTTAGTTATCTCCTTACAATTTCATTTGATTTGAATTAAAATTTTTTAATTTATGGTAAAATTATAATTAAATTATTTTTTAAAAAATATTTTACAATCAACATTAATTTAAACTGTAAAATGCTAATCATTTTATAGACAATTGGATCTTAATATCATATACTTTTATCTATTCCTCGATGGTTTTTGTTTTACAATTTGTATTAATTTAAACTGTAAAAGAAGATTTTGTTTAAAAAATTGATTTGTTTGCCTTTCTCTCGTGAATTTTTATTAAAAGGGTTTTGGGATTTTGAAATTTAGTTGCAGGATGGGAGATGGACGGTGGAGATTGGAAACGGGCGGTGGCGGGTTAGGGGTTTGAATTGGGGAGAGGGCTTTTGAGTCAAAAAGGGGAATTATGAGGGCTTGGATTGTAATTTGGACGAAGTTTTCAAAATTAAATTTTCAACGGCTACATAGCAACGGGCCATTTTTGAGCTGTGGGCCTGTCTGTTCGATTCTTGTCCACGCGCCACAGGACATCAGACATCAGGATTTAAGAATGACAACAGTTTCTGGGCCTGAAATTATCATTTTTGGGCTGGAATTACTGACTTGTAGGCCCCAATTGGAGATGGATTATTTATATTCCATATATAATGAATCTGTGCTAGTCTTATTAAAAAATAAATAAATAAAAACTAAGAAGCCTTAGAATTTAAAATATTAAAATTATATGTGAAATAATTAAAATATTTTTAATAATTTTTTTATGTGTTGAATGATTAAGAGTATTTGAATATTTTCATTGTAATTCTTGATATTTGAATTATAAGGAACTTAATTTTTCGATTTCCTTGTTAATTTAATTAGAACTAAATATTTTAGGTAACTTTGATCAACAACAACATAAGTAAAGAGGACCAAATCATAAATAATTGATCTTCTTTGATAAGGAGGTTGAAGGGCCAGTTCCAGCCTTATTTGTGGACATTCCCCACTTGCTGAATGCCATCAATTCAAATATTGTCCAACATACCCCTCGGGAAGGTCACTATACTGCGGATTACATGGCTTCTTTTGGCCGGGACTTGCCATTGGGCACAACCATCTTTGAAGATCCACCAATTGGTTTTGGCTTCATCTTGCAGGGAGATGTTATAGGGAACATAAGAGAAATCTCAAAATGATTTTTGCCCAACAATTTAAATCAAGATTTTTCAAGATTTTGAAGGCTGTTGATGTGCAGTGGCTGAGCCAGGGGGTGCGAGGAGGCGCTCGCCCCCCTGAAATTTGAAAATCTTGCAACTTAGTATATGAAAATTTAATTAACTTCCATTGAATTTTAAAAATTTTAGTATTTTGCCTCTCTTGAAAAAAATTTCTGCTTCCCCCCTGTTGATGCATATATGCAAATGGAGATTTAGTTTTATATGTCTATGATAAGATATGGGATAAGGTACATGAATTGACATTTCCTTGGCCTTGCAAGCAAAGCTAGACCCCATTTCCATTAATTATATAGTTTGTCATTTACTTTTCTTCGGTAGTCATCAGTTTGTCATTAGATATTGGTTGATGTGGTAGGTTTTAACACATGATTTGCATTAAATGTAAAATTAACTAATAATAGATAGAATAATTTTTATTATATTTAATTTATATTTTTTTTATTATATTTAATTTAATATTTTTTTATAACAATAAAATTGGTGAAAGAAAAAAAATGAAGTTTTTTTTTCCGCCGAATCCCTTTGTATTGAATCCCTTTGTATTGTCAATTCGGATACACCATGAATCACATGATCTTCTCTCTTTCTTCTCAACTGTACACATAGTAACATCCGAGGGAAAAACAGGAAATTACCCTTTCAGCACTTCCAAAAGCCATATTTATCTGTTTCAAGCACAGTCTCATATCTTGACCTTATACATCTTCCCTCCTAGCTCCCTATAAATAGACAGCGCCAAAAGAAAAACAGAATTACGCCCAGAATAGAATAAGAAAATGATGTTGCAGAGAATAGAGATGTGCTTGGAGCTTCTGAAATTGGCCGTAAAGTTTGTCATAGTGGTGGCGGAGGCGGTAGGGTTAGTCATTCAGCAAAACTCAACGATGTCCCTGCTGCCAGGAAACCAATCCCTTTCTGCTCTCCCGTATGTTGGATTTTTTCCGTAGAGTTCAATCATCAATTATATACCCTTCTCCAGGTTCTTCTTTTGTTCTTCTTTGTAGATGTGTTTTTGAAATATGATTAATTTTGTTTTGGTGATTTTTAGTTAATAATGTGAAGGTTAATTCCTTCTCTTCAAATTGCAATTTTTCTTGATAATAGTATGAACATGTTCTTCTCATAATTTGTGGAACAACTCAACTGCCCACTTGGATATTTATGAATTAGAGTTTAAGATTTTTTTTTTCCCCTTTTTTGGCAGGTTGGGTTTAAGGAAAAGATATTTTTTAACCTACACACTTAAAAAACAAGTTAAACCTAATTAAATAGAGTATTTATAATTAATTTTATAAAATTTTTATATCAAATTTAATTAAAATAATATATAAAATATATAAATTTGATATAAAATTTTTTATAAAATTAATTATAAATACTATATAATTAATAAAGTTTATCATTAGATTAGACAAATTCAAAGAAACTTAAATAAGGAGAAATTTAAAGAGGCACCATAAAAAGAAAGAATTATGGTGCTAATTTCAATTGGCAGTGCATTAACACGACAAGAAAGAAGAATCCAATACGAGAAAAGACATGATGATATTGGCTGTCTAAGAAATTAAGTGCACTTCATTATTTCAAGAATCTTTGCTTAATTTACACGGAATCTTTCTTAAACAAGGATAATTATTGGAGATGAGGAATATTCAAATTCAGGATTCCGTCTCCCAACATCTTTCCCTTGATGGAACTAATTACCAGGCCACTAGGTGTTGATTTTTTTTGGTAGAAATACTAGGTGTTGATTTGGTTGCATTATTGCGTTCGTCATGAAAGGAAAAAATGTTGACTAACATTAGATAAATAACAGTAATAACAGTATAAAGTGTGGCAAATATGTCAGCCATCATGAAGCACATTGGGTGATACTTAAAATATTATCATGTGTCAAGTATTTTAAATTTTTTATGAGCATTATTTCTCAAATTTGGTACACTTTATCTATCAATTTAACTAACAAAATATTGGCCCAAAATAAAAGTGGAAATAGGTTAAGGATTATTATGAGAAATTATCATTTTCCCTAACCTTAATTAGTTAGCATCTCAAATCATCTTCTGAATTATTGACGCTGGAGAGTCCCATTCTACCAACAAAAATTAAGCAAAAGCCTAGTTTTAGTCCTTCACTAAGTTTGAAGGCTTTAACCCCTCATATTATATTATGATACTTTTAACCACTCACCTAACTAGATTCATAGGTTTTAACCCATCATCTTATATTATGGCACTTTTAGCTCTTCACCTATTAAAATTGAAGAAAAAATAACCCTCACTTTAGAACATTTTGTTAGTTTTGTTAACTGACTGTTAATTTTATTATCTGACTGTTAGTTGACTGTTAATTGACAAAAATTTTCTTTCAGCTAATAGAATTAACAAAACTAACTTCATAATATTTTGTCGATTTTGTTAACTGACTATTAGTTGACTGTTAAGTGAAAAAAATCTACTTTCAATTAACAAAGTTAACAATCAATATAAAGTAAATGTTATTTTCTTCGATTTTAATAGATGAGGAGTTAAAACTTACAAATCTAATAAGGTAAAAGGTCAAAAGCGTCATAGCATAAAGTGAGGAGCTAAAATCTTCAAACTTGATAAGATGAAGGGCTAAAACCAAGTTTTTGCCAAAAATAAAGAGGGAGAGAGAAAGAATTCTCAGTTCTTCTATTGGGCTAAGCTAGCTAGTTGACCCTTGGCGAAGATGGGTGTAATGGGCCAAGAATGAAAGTTGTTCGAGGCTTGTTGGGCCCATCATCAAGTAGAGAAGTCGTGGGCCGGGCCAGGTCAGAAAGTAGTGAGAAAACAGCACTGAAATCTTATCAGAGGGTGTTGGACGTGGCTTGGGACTTGGGGTTGGGGGATGGCCAGACCGCCGAGGTTGTGGGCGAGGAGGATCACCTTTTCGTGCTCCGGTAGACCAGCGATGAGCTCCGTCAGCAGCCGGAAGTAATTGGAGACCGATCGCAGAAGGATCGCTTACTGTGGATCAACCCAAAGGCTGCAGAGTCTACGACGGTGAGGGTGATGTCTGGCCCCGCCACCAATTTTAGCACCGGCACAGCACCAGCTTGTACCAGGACCAGGCGCCACGGCACGATCCGCGGACCAGCACAAAGTGCTCGCTCGGAATTGGCTTTGATTAAGTCCCAAGTACAACAGAATTAAGGTATACTGAAATTGAAACTAAGATCATAAGCTTCAGCTCTCATACAAGATCTTCTGTCAGATTCCATTATTTATCACTTACATGATGAAGCTTTTTTATCTTTAAAAAAGTATTGTGCAGTTCAAATTGTATCCAATATTATTTATTTTGCAGTGGAAACTGCAAGACACCGCACCCTTTCATTTTTCCTTCAAAGTCACTCCTCACATAAACCACAATATTTACAGTATATGTGAACTAATTTAGACTACTTTTGGAAACATAAATTGGACCAAACTAAAGAGACTGAGCATCCCAATTTCATTACTTGTTGATGGATAATGTTTCTTCAAAGCGGTCTGCCAGTTCTGAATCTGGTATCTTGAAGTGATAGATTTGGATGTTTTCCACATTGAGCTTCCTGAAATTACTGCCCTTTCTGGTAACAAGAAACTTTCCCCAATTGTATGCCCTGTATCTTGCAGGATTCTTCTCGCTGGTCAGTTCCTCCAACGGCTTCACCATTGTGTAATGAGCCGGGCTGAAGAAGCACGGAATGCTAAACCTTTCCTTCTCCGGGTTCACAATCACCCTATGCTCCACACTCTCATATCTGTCATTGGTCCATACCTGATGGAATGAAATATAAGCATCACCCAAATTCAGGTGAAGTCTTATATAATATTGTTGGTTAGTACTTAGTACTTTACCTGAATAATGTCACCAACATTGATGATATAAGCGTTGGGTGTAGGCTTGACTCGGATCCACTCTCCATCAGATTTCCTCTTCACTTCGAGCCCTCCAACATCGTCCTGAGCAAGAATAGTCAGGGCTATGGTATCTTTGTGTCGGCCAACACCAAGAGCAAGGTGAGGAACAGGGCAGGGTGGGTAGTGATTGAGTCTAATGAAGCTGGTTTGGTGGTCTTTGAAGAAGCCGTAGAACCTGTCTGCTGGCAAGCCTAGACTCAAGGCAATAAGTTCCAACAATTTGTAAGCTAGTTTCTGTGTCTCCTTTGCATATTCTTCGCAAATCTCTCTATTATCACATAAATCAAAATTCGCAGGATGAGTAGATGACCCTTTTATGTTTTGATATTCCTAGTCCTAGCTCTTTATTAAATAGTTACGTACGTACCTGAGGTCAGAAGGGTATTCAGGCCATTGATTGTACCATTTTGATACTTCATTGTCATCAGGATCTGTTGAAGCTGGAATCAGCGTAGGATCCTCTACGCTGAAATCAAAGACTTCCTTCCAGTCCCTAACATTCTTGGTATGCTCCGTGTCATAATAACCTATCACCTTCACCGCATCTCTCCTCACCTTCCTTTTCTCCTCTGATCGCTGAGCAAAAAACCTTCTTGATGCATCCTCAATCTTCTTGCGCTGCTCCAAGGGCACGCCATGGTTGATAACCTGGAAGAACCCCCAGTTCTTGCATGCTTCACCTATCTCAGAAACCAGCCCCTCAATAGCATCTGGTGAATTTGTCAGTGGTGAGAGATCAATCAAGGGTATTCCCTCAGCTTCAATGGGTGAGAGTTTAGGCCTGTGTTCTGCATCTTGGATGAAAGCAGGATCAACTTCCCCCATTGCTCTTCACTGCTCAGACTATAATTTTCCTTTTCCTTTCTGTAAGAAATGAAAGGTGGAGATAAGGTTTTATATACAATGCAACCAAGCAAGGGTGGGGTTTGGTTTTGATTGAATCTAGACAGGATTGGAGTCAGTATTAGTGGTTGGTTATATCAGCTAGCACTGTTGGATTTGTGGTTTGTGTCGTGTCAGATTTGGAGTCGAAGTGTTTGGACTAACGTTGGCTCATCCAGCAATGCATTGATGCTCCTTGTTACCCCCTTTTTTTCATTTTTCATTTTTTTTATAGAAAATAATGTAATTAAATTGTTTATAATATTATAAGAGATTGGTATGTATTAATCTCTATTTTTTTTAAAAAAATTTATGATCTCAATTTACATTTAGAAGTTAAAATTTCAATTTAAAATTTAAAAATTCATTCTATTAAATATTGATATTTAAATTCAAAAATTAATTATATATTTAATTAATTTTTAAATTTAAATATAAATTTTTAATAGAATAAATTTTTAAATTTTAAATTAAATTTTAATTAAATAAAATGACG